TGAGGTCATGAGCCTGAAAGAAGCTCACCACCTTGCCATGTCTCTATCAAGAGTAATAAATGCTCAGTGTGTAGATGGACTTACAGCTGGGAACAAACTGAAGCTGCTGGCTTAAACAGTCATGTTGGGGCAATTATTCTGCCCTAGGTTGGGCAGTGTGCGGTTCTTGGTATCTTCCCAGGCATAGTTTCCAGGCCAGCTGTGAGAAGAAGAGATGACAGGATTTCAGATGTCACCTGCTAAATAATGTATCTCCAAGGAGTGTGCCTCAAAATTGTCCCACACAACATCCTGGTCTCTAAATTGGAGAGATGTGGATTTGATGGATGCATTTGACTCAGTGGATAAGAAATTGGCTGGATGGTCACACTCAAAGAGTTGTGGTCACTGGCTCAGTGTCTGAGTAGAGACCAGTGGCAAGGGTATTCCTCAGGGGTTGGTAGTGGGACGAGAGCTATTTAACATCTTTGTTGGTGACATGGACAGCGGGACCAAGTGCACTTGCAGCGAGTCTGCAGATGACACCAAGCTAAATGGTGTGGTTGCTATGCTGGAGGGAAGAGATGCCATCCAGAGAGACCTTGACAGGCTTGAGAGGTGGGCCTGTGTGACCCTCATAAGGTTAAACAAGGCCAAGTGCAAGGTCCTGCACCTGGGTCAAGGTAAACCCCAGCATCGATCCAGGCTGGGGAAAGAAGGGATGGAAGGCAGCCCTGTGGAGAAGGACTTGGGGGTTTTGGTAGAGGAAAAGCTGAATATGACACAGCAAGGTGTACTTGCAGCTGAAAAAGCCAGTTGCATCCTGGAAAACATCCAAAGCTGCATGACCAGAAGGTCAAGAAAGGAGATTCTGCCCCTCTGCTCCACTCTGGTGAGATCCCTCCTGCAGTGCTGGGACAGCTCTGGAGTCCTCAGCACAGCAGAGACAGGGACCACAAAAATGTTCTGATGTCTGGAACCCATCCGCTATGAGGCCCGTCTGGGAGAGTTGGCCTTGTTCAGCCTGGAGAAAAGAAGGCTCTGGGGAAACCTTGTTGTTGTCTCCAGTACATCAAGGAGGCCTACAGGAAAGATAGAGAGGGATTCTTCATCAGAGAGGGTGGTGATAGGATGAGGGTTAATGTTTTCAAAGTGAAACAGGGGAGATAGATTTAGGTTAGTTATTAGGAAGAAATTCTTTACTGTGAGGGTGGTGAGATGCTGGTAGAGGTTGCTAAGATAAGCTGTGGATGCCCCCTCCGCAGAAGTGTTGAAGGCCAGGTTAGATGGGTCGTTGAGCCATATGGTCTAGTGGGAGGTGTCCCTGCCCACAGCAGGGGGACTGGAACTAGATAACCTGGAAAAGTTCCTTCCAACCCAAATTATCCTATGATTCTATGATGGCCTTTGTAATGTGCCAGGGGTTTTGATCCTCTGAATCCTCTGTCTCTGTTTCTCATGCGGAATACATCTTCTCCTGGGCCCACCACAATCCACCAATCTACCAATCTGCTCCAGGGTTCCCCACAGCTCCAGAGACAGAAGAAATTATCATAGAATCATTAGGGTTGTAAAAGACCTCTAAGATCAGTAAGTCCAACCATCACCTAACACTACCATGACCATTATTTAGTCCTGGAAGCAGGAAAGTCAGATTGCTTCTAATATACTGCTGAATTAAGCTGGCCCTGGGCAGTCACTTCAGACATCCCTTCTTCTGTGGCACTGAGGAAACAGCTCATGGAGGTCTGAGAGTTGGCTCTGTGCACCAAAACAGTACCAGTAGCACCAGTATAAGCCCTCAGAGAAAAGCAAGTCCATGGGTAAATATGGTGAGAAGAGAAAGCAAGCATCCTCCTCCTCCTGGTTGTAGCAGAGCAGCTCAGAGTCATGGTGACAAGAACAGGACCAAGGACTAACACGACCATTTTTCACCATGTTCCCAGAACCAGATTGTTCCCATGCCCCCTAGCAAAATAATGGCATCAGTGAGAACAAACCAGTGATAATGGGGAAGGGAAACAAATGAGGCTGTCAGTACCCTCTTCCTGGAAATCATCTCACAGGTTGTTAGTCACACAGGGCTGGCTTCGCCCCCCTCTTTTTCTCCTGTACTTGGGCTTTCGTGTTCCGCTCCTCACCTCAGTGGCTGAGAGCCTGCACCGTGGGCAGAGGAATCACCATTAGGCAAAGTGGCTGGATGTCATGATATATGGGACTACATCTCTGCTCCAGCAGCACAGAAAGGTAGCAAAGAGCTGAGATTAAACACTGGGTTAATTAGTACATTTAATTAGCTCCCAGTTATTAAATCCTTTCAGACCCTTAGATAAAACACTCAAAGTACAAAACATTCCTGAGAAACACTGTTATTTCTTCCCCTCTTTCTGCAGGTGGGTGCAGGGCTGGCGAGCTCTAGCTCCCCTCCTGCAGCTTCACGCGGCAGCAGAGTCCATCCCAGCCTCAATGGCCCAAGGTCTCCCTGAGATTACCCTCGAATGTGCAACCCGCCAATCTGCAAATTCACAGTT